AAAAAAAAAAAAAATACACTAAACCTGGCCCGGCCCCGTTAACCCGTAACCCTTACGGTTCAATTTTTACCCGGATGAACCCGTTAAACCCGTTAAGCCCCAACCCATAACCGGCCCGGACCGTAACCCGTACGGGTCCAAAAAATAGTAACCTGGCCCGGCCCACCCGTTTAACACCTATAATTTCACCCCAAGTGGTTGGAGGATATTTCATAAGCCGACATAATAACTTTCTGGTCGCCCTTGAACCATTCCTGCTCAGCCCGTTTTGGAAATATGCTACGACCATTCCTTCCAATACATTTGGTAAAGTCATTCTTACTCGAATGAATCGAGCGAGGGAAATGGCCGTGCTGCTCGCCCGCTGTTGGTGTAATGTAAGCCCTTACATTTTCTCTTACGGTCTCCTGGGCGGGCTTGTTGAGTATGCCAGTTAGCGTGTTAGTTAGACTTTTTTACTGCTGGTGGCGTCTCTTCCGTTGTATATGTGGAAGCTCTTTTACCGCGAGATGTTGTGATACTGCCGTGAGGGAGGGGTGACCCACTTCGCGTGGGGGGAGGCATTAGGCGTTATGTCGTCACCTTCTGTCTCAGAAACCTCATTGATGGTGTTCAAGAGATTGGTGGTGAGGTCAACCACTACCCTCATTCTTTCTTCTCTGTTACCTGCCATGTCAGATCCGTGTGTACAAGGAAAAAGGAGTTTTTTTTTTTTTGTAAACCGTGATAGTTATAAATCTAGAAAAAACTAAAGATTTAACTAGGAAATCCCTACAGACGGCGCCAGATTGTTTGACCAAAAAGTGTAAATCTTCGGTTAAACTAATTAATCTTATGTAATGAGGGGTTAAACCTGGTTAATGATAATATCTCTAGATTTATAACCGGTTAACACAAATAACGCAAAACAACGTTAGTGGGGGATTAAATGCAGTGTGCATTTAATATTCCAAGAGATTTGAGTGATGATTGAAGAATATCAAACAATAAATAACAATAAATGACATTAATGTAAACAAGGAGAATGATTCACCAAACATTGAATGAGGTGGATGATTCTTCTTTCTGATAGTGATGAGTGACAGACAAATCCTAAAATATTGGAACTATTCTCGGTTCTAATGGAATAATTGATGGTAGAATCTTAGTAAAAAGGTAGTGTTTGTATCTTTTGTAGAGAGAGAGTCTTCTTCTCAAAAAGTGTTCTTATCAAACTTAATATTACATACCATTTTCCCCTATCTCTTTTTCTATTTATATTGGACATATCCCTAGTTAACCCTAAAAGTACAAATACAGGGAATATTCAATGAATATTCTCTTAAATATCCTATTACAAAAACTAGCCGTTAGTACTGTCAGGGAATATTCAATGAAATATTCTCTTAAATATCCTATTACAAAAACTAGCCGTTAGTACTGTTTTTGATACTTAACCTCGACCGTTATTGACCGCCCAACTACGAGCCCCACTGCTTACTAGTCGATCTTGGCCACATCACTTTCTATAATACCACTCGGTGCTAAATCCCCTTGAGGTAGATTTTGACCTATACACATATTCCATTAAGAAGTTAAACTAAATTAAAAATTACAATATGCATGTTCATTAATCTTTTAAATAATAACATTTATTTATTCATAAAAATAAGTAATTAATTATTTTTTTGAGTCATCATGCTAATTGATAAATAGACTCAACTTATATGCATATTCTTTTTTTATAATTTGATTCTTAATACATTTTAAAAAATATTGGTCAAAAAATAAACTCTTCAAATAAATTAGCTAAGCAAAACTACAATTTCCAAAATGCTTCAAGCTAATTTTAACACCTTGACCAAACACATAAGATAATATCAGTAGGAGCAAAATGACAATTTGAAATTAAAGAGTCTTCAAGTTAGATATTAGATATGGATCCAAAATCAACTTAATGAGTCTATCGTGGAAATGACATCATGTAGTTATTTTTAATCATGTTGTTTAAAATATATTTACAATGTTTTTAAGATTAATAAATTCGCTCAAACTTGAGGACAAGACGTCCTAGAATTTAAACCTCAAAATTAAACTTTAGGACATCGTGCCCTAAAGTTCGAAATTTATGTCCAAAACTTCGAATCTTATGTCCTGAATTTCAAATTAGTAGCTCAAAAATTCAAGACGCTAAGTCCCGAATTTCCAAATTTAGGATACTTAGTTATGAAATTTGGGTGAATTGGTTAATTTTTAAATACATTATACATTATACATTATGAATATATTTTAAACAATATGCTTAAGAGTGGCTATTGGTGCAATTCGCCCTTCTATTCCTAAGATTTCTATCATTGAATTAATTTAAACTTTTACACTAAATATTACTCCATTTACTAATAATCATCATAATATAAAAATATTAAAATAATATTTGGGTCTTTAAATTAAATGGTCCAAACGCCATATATGCTACCACCTTTTGTTTCATTCTTATCCCTTAATGTGGAAAAAAAGTTCCCCACCACTTAGCTGCTCCATTGGTAACCTTCAATCGACAATGGAAGCTCCTCAATTTCAAGCCAGTCTCCAATTCAGACGTTTCTTGGCGTCCCAAAGCCCATGGTAACGAGCATTCTCATTTATCTTCAACTTCGATTGCTTTAATTAGTGTTCTTCAGAACAAGGGCGGAGTTAGAAGCCGAATACGGGTTCGGCTGAATCCATTAGCTTTTGCTCAAATACTGTATTTGTAATAATTTTTTTATTAAATATGTATAAATATTAAATTTAGAACCAAGTTATTAGCATTTAAAGTCGTTATTCTAAAAACACATGAAGTTGAAATCCCAGCTCCGCCTTGGCTTCGGAATACTTTTTAGTTTATGTAGTTGTTTGTTAACCAGAAATCGTTAGTTTCATGATGTAGATTCATATTTATATTAAATTCGCATCTATTATCGGGAAGGAGTAGTGGTTAAAAGTACTATATGCACCGATTTAAAACCCTGAATCCGCTTTTTTGATGGTCATATGACAGAAAAGACTATTGTTTTAGTTATTAAATAGTTTAAACGGTTAATTATTCATTAAATCTATGAAAATTCACAAGCATAGGGATCAAAAGTGCACATTATAGTTAATTGAATGTGCTTAACCATATATCACAAGGACCAATATCCCTAATATTTCTGAACCACTTTTGCCACTGCACTAGAAGCTTTTTGTAAAAAAAATCCAAGGGGATTCAAAAATCTATATATACAAAAAATTATTATATCCTGTTGCACAGTGCAGGGGTGGCAAACGGCTGGATCGGGTCGGATACGGCGGGTCGAAAAACGGGTAATGCAAAACGGATAAATCATCCAATCTGGCCCATATTTAATACAAATAAAAAATTTTATCCGGCGGATAATATGGTATCTATATTATGCATGACTTCTTGAATATGATCACTTTTGGGAGAATACCTAGTCTTTCAAACTCGAGGAACCCCCAATTTGAGGCTTTATAAATGTAATAGTTAATCTCATTAGTTATCCATTGATTATCCATTTTTTAAGTGGATAATATGATTCTTATCCAGATTTGACCATTTTTTAAAAAGTTTATTATCCAACCCGTTTTTAAATGGAAAACATGGGTGCATAACTATTTTCTTTTAACTATTTTGCCACCACTAGTACAGTGTAATTTTTGTATAGAGGCGATTCAATACATGCGGCTCCAGCACGGAATAGTTGGAGCCTAGATTTTACAAACCTGATGCAAGATGGTCCAGTTTATGGATGAATGGAATTTTTGTAGTTAGAGAAAAAAACAGAAGAAGACAAAGAAAGAAGAAAAAGAAGAAGAATATTAAATGTGTCATTTGCTTAATCCTACTTGTAATTTATAACTTGTTTATGCTAACAGTTTTAGAGACTCTGATCATTGTAAGATTGCTGCACCTAAAGCCTCAGATCAAAGAATGCCATCTCTAAATGTCAAAAAGTTGCTAAGAAGGTCAGTTCTGCAACTTGTTGGATTGAGTCCCATCTTCATTAGTATTCGTCCTGTCTTATCTGCTCCAGTTCAGGAGATGAAAGAACCTGATGTTATCCGGTAAATGTTGTTTCCATTTCTTTAATCTCCACAATTAAATTGTCTATATGGCCTAGAATAAGTGCTGTCATTATTTTAATGGTGTTGTTAATTTGGATTTGAAGCATTCAGGACTCTAAAGCTTGCTAGTGGAGTGAGAATACAAGGTACATCCCCTTTTAAGGTTATTAAATAAATACAGTCAAACCTCTCTATAACAGCCTTATTTGTTCCGGATTTTCTTGGTTGTTATAGCGTAATGCTATTATAGAGAACATATATTATAACATATTAGTTCCAAAGAAACTTGGCTTTTATGGTGAATGAGTGTTATATAGCGATGCTGTTATAGAGAGGTCTGACTGAATTTTATAAGATGTTTTCTAATTGAGATATTTGATTAGTTTTACTTGGAGCTAATAACAACCCTGGCTGTAGGTTAATTGCTATTTGACTTATTAATGGATAGTATTAGCTCAAACACCAGCTTAGCTTGGCTTGTTTGGGACAATATCATCAAATCCTGAATCCTAATTCGGGGGAATACTCATAAGCTCTAAATTCTACAAGTAAGCCAAACCATTCAATTTCAAGCCGATTCTAGGAAAATTGACTTCACATAGATACACAAAAACACACCAAACATGCCCTCGACAGATAGTCATCAAACTTAGCAAACAAGGAGGAGAACAACTTTGTTGAAATCTCAAACAACTGCATGGACTTTTAGCGTCAAGAAAGAAAAAGATATTCATTGCTGGTGGTAGGACCAATGTTTTTCTTACTTGCAGGTTTAGCTGTTTAGGAAGAATTGAGAGCATTAGGAGGAAGAATCTTAAGTGACAAAGTAGAAAAGAGTTGTGGGAAGAGAAGGGGTAACAATGATGAATCCAGGGCTGGGATGTGGGAACATTGAAATAAAGGTGTAAATTTGTTGTTTGATTTCATTATCAAGTATCCCTACTATAAATATGTTCTAAATGAAAGTGACAAAGGAAATTGTATATTACGAAGTTAAAATGTTTAATAAGCTGGACGCAATTTCAATAATTTGGGAAATACATATAGGCTTATGTTTGGCGAATAAATATACATTCGTGAATATGACTTTTGACGAGCTTGATTTGGTTAATCATTGAAGTAAATAGTCTGGTGTGTGTTTCTTTATTGAAGAAACAAGTCAAGGTTGAGTTTACACGAGTCCAGTTGAGTTTTCTTCACGACTCCTTTGATCATTTTAGAGCTTGAAGATGTTATAATTGAATGGAACATGATCACTTGCTTTCACATTTGACGTGCTGCAGTTTCACGTATTTAATGTTTGGAGCATGCATACAGCATACAGGATAAGAATTGTAGATTTTAACCCAGCGAGAAAGTTAAGAGGAAAAGCAACTTTTATTGAAAAAGTAACTGTTTAATGATCTCCTTCCTTACAGTCATAAGTTCAATTTAATGAAGAAGTCAGTGATATCGTGACAAGCGTAAAAATATTATGCTGAGAGGAGGCACATCAATCTGTCCGTGTCGTTCTTGTTTTATATTTCTGAGTATTAATATGAGTTGTTGGGTCTTCTAAAGATGTTGTTGAAGGGGAAGGACCAGAGGCTCATGAAGGAGATATCGTCGAAATTAATTATGTCTGCCGACGATCAAATGGATATTTTGTCCACAGGTACTGTTTTCAGTTTATATTCTGCTCCTCCAGATATTTGTTCGTCAGTAAATCCATGTCATGCTTTCTTCTATTTTGTGGAATTGACATTGAACTTCTTCATTTTGCTTCAATGTAGTACGGTGGACCAATTCAGCGGAGAAAGTGCCCCTGTCATACTTCCTCTGGATGATACACAGGTTACCATTTTTGTTATAGCTTCGGGCTAAAAATAGAACATCTTAAAGGTCAGACAGCAACCTTCTGATATCCATTATGTGGCATGGCTGGAAGCTGTCAAGAAGTTATATTGCATCTATTTTTCTATTAACTGCGTACATCTTACCCTCCCCAGACCCCACTTGTGGGAAACAAGGGCGGAGCTAGCATAGGATTTGCGGGTTCGGCCGAACCCAGTAACTTTGGTGCAAACCCTGTATTTATCTTTAAAAATCCATTGAATATGTATAAATTGTTAATTTAGAACCCAATAACATAAACGAACTAGAATCTCGAACCCACAAGCTCCAAATCCTGGCTCCGCCTCACTCCGCCTCTGGACTGGGAAATTACTGGGTTTGTTGTTGTTGTTGTTGTTGTTGTCATTTGTGCCTTCAAAATGGGTGGTCAAATAGAGCCACTTGGTTAATCAAATAGGTGTTAAGAGGTAACTTGTAGTCTGTAGACAAGGTTTCTTGATGAGTTCAAAAATAATCTTTTTTCCTATCTTCTTACAATTTCTTAAAGACATGCTAGAAATGTCTTGGTACGTATTGTCGAAGGTCACACAGAAGAAAAAAAGCGGAGAGACGAAATGCAGAGAAACTTAGAAGTACGCTAAACTAGTAACAAATTAACAAGAAGAATAACCATTGTTTAGGCAACGTATTGTGCTGCCAGGACAAGCTGCTGTCTTGCTGAGCAACAACCTGTACTGTTTTAATCTTTCAGATATAAAATTTATACTGCCGTCAACTGGTGATGATAAAGATGTACTGCGCTCAAACGTTTCTAACGTTGACCATGTCGTCCCTCCTAGCATAGAACATAGTAGCTGCATTACCCCTTTCTTCTCCTTCACTTTCCCCTGCCATCAAGACTGCTGAGGTTAAGGATATCTACGTTGTCTGTGTCTTCTCGCCATCATTAGTCATAGCTGCATTTCTCCCCTCTTCTTTCTATATGTCTAGTTTGGGAAGGGTTGGGGGATAGTTGATAATTAACTGCATTCTTGTTTTCTTTATTGAAGGGGAGCCTTGGAGCAACGGTTAAGCTGTCTCCGTGTGACTTATAGGTCACAGGTTCGAGCCGCGGAAGCCACTAATGCTTGCATTAGGGGTGCGGTCCTTCCTCGAACCCTGCGTGAATGCGTGATGCTTTGTGCACCGGGTTGCTCCTTTTTCTTGTTTTTCATACTAAGTCTGTGAATCTGCAGATAATTGAAGGTCTGAAGGAAGTCTTGATTGGAATGAAGCCTGGAGGTTGTGCCTACTCTTTAAGAATTTATTCACTTTTTGTTTGCAAAATATATTCAAACCATAGTAAATGACAGGACCTCAGGGAAAACTTATTGGCCATTTTTTTTTTTAATATAAGTTCTATTTGTTTGAGCTGTAAGGCCTGTACTGCAGGAAAAAGAAGAGCGCTGATACCGCCTTCGGTAGGATACATCAATGAAAACTTAAAACCAGTACCTGAAGAGGTATGTGTTCTCAGAAATTTATTCATTTAACATCCTTTTGGTGCCCTTATCCTACACTCTCCAACTAACTGAATCTATGATTCTATGTTCCTTTTCTGCTTTATACAGTTAAACCTCTCTATAACAATGTCGTTTGTTCTGAAATTTTTTGGCTGCTATAGTGAAATGTTGTTATAGAGGACATATATTATAACATAATATAATAATGGGTTCCGAGAAAAACTCGGTTTTTATAGTGAATGACTATTATATAGGAATGTTGTTATAGAGATATCTGACTGTAGTTGATGTTATTGGTTCATCAAACGGATATTTGTCGTGTTGCAGTTTGGGCCAAGGCGTAGCCTTATGTCTCATGTGAAGGAGCCTCTAATTTTTGAAGTGCAGCTGTTGAAAGTTTTATGAGTATCATACTTATTGTCGGTGCTTAACTATAGTACGTAAGTTTTTTAATTGATTAACTTCATTACTTTGATCTCTTGAACAGTGTACTGAATTTTTGCCAAGATATGCTAAAATTGTCAGCGCGGGATGTTCCTAAACTGGTTATAATATTGGTTTAATTTCTAGTTTAAGGGAACTTATTCTTTAGACAAAACTTCTACTTGGTTACTGTAATGACTAGTACATATTGTTTAGTACCATTAGTAGTAATTTTATCACTAGTGGGTTGAGCTATTACATATGCGTGCAACCTTGAACGATGGTGGGGCAAACCTACGTGAGGACGTTGAGTCCTTCTAAGGGGGTGTATGTGACACCCAAGCGAATCAAACACGACACGGGATAGATGTAGTTATATAAGTAGACTAGCCTTAGACTCTAGTGATGCGTTTTAAAACCGTGCGGGTCTAGGTCCAAAGCGGACAATATCATTAGTGGGTTGAACTATTACATAAATTTCAAATACGAGTTTATTTATGTGAGAGTAATAGCACATTCAGCAGATGCAAATGAGTGAGTGACCATCTTTTTTTTAGATGCAATAACATCTTCCTTGACTTCTTTTCAGTGAATGAATGACCATCTTTTTGTTAGATGCAATAATATCAAAATCAGTTTATATACACCTTAACTAATTTTATTGAACGATCAAATGGACTCGCACCGAGTATTATATTAAATTTGAACCTGATATCTCATGTTGTTACTACTATAATTCTACAACCAGCCGCTCAACCATCTTGGGACTAACTGGCTGCCTTACCGTAGTGGGCGTTTGGACATAAGAATTGTAAAATTCCTAAAAAAAAAAGTGATTTTTTTTTTTCAAATAAAAATGATATTTGAAAATTAGAGTTGTGTTTGGACATGAATATAATTTTTGGGTTGTTTTTTAGTTTTTTGTGAGTGATCAGAGTGAAAATTTTGAAAAATAGCTTTTTGAAGTTTTTCAAATTTTCGAAAAATTCCAAAATTCATCTTCAAGTGAAAATTGGAAATTTTATTGCGAAACATTAATTTTAAAAAAAAGTGAAAAAATTCTTATGTCCAAACGGGCTCCTAGTTTCCTAAAAAGAACTTTCCTTTTCAGCTAATAGGACTTGCTAATTCTTACTCCCTCCGTTCAACATTCCCTTTTTGTTTGAAAACATATAGCAACTTTTTAAATTTGGAAATAATTTAACTTAAATTTTCTTTTTAGCTTTAAGGAGCTCACTCACTGAAAAGAAGTTAAAGGAAGGAAGCTGGTTCTCTAATAGTCCTATTGAATGGGAGGGTGAAGGCTTTTTGAAAAGTCTAGTTTATCTTGTAAATGAATTTCTTTTCTATTTAGAGAGAAGGAGTTTTGAGTTCTTAGGAAGAGCATGAGACAACTCACGTGCAGTTCAAAGAGCCTAATAGAATAAGTGAGGATCACTCTGAATCGTTATTTTTTTTTTTTTGCTATAACTTTGCCGAGCCACCTAGCCTCTTGCATTTTTCGAATAAAGAAGATGGTTATAAGATCAAATTCGCTTTAAGAAGTAACTTTCATCTTTAGTAATTTACCAAGGTATCAGAGATATAACTTTCTAGACACTTTTGAGATCTCACTCTTTCAAGTCTATGAGCCCGTTTGGCCATGAATTTTTTTACTTTTTTCAAAATCAATGTTTGGCCATACATTTTTTAATTTTTATTTGAAGATGAATTTTGGAATTTTTCGAAAATTTGAAAAACTCCAAAAAACTATTTTTTAATTTCACTCAGACCATTCACAAAAATTCAAAAATAACCTAAAATTATATTTGTATCTAAATACAACTCTAATTTTTAAATAATATTTTCGCTTGAAAAAATATTTCACTTTTTTCGGAATTTTACAATTCTTATGTTCAAACGCCCACTATATTTGTGCAGGCAGATTGAGGCTCCTCAAATTTTGCAAAATGCGATAAATAAAATTAAAAAAGAAATAAGGGGTGAAGTCACAATTAAGAACGAGCTTACAACTTTACCAAAATAGTAAGTCGATCCCCGAGATGTAAGAATAACGAGGCCCACTTATCAACAGACTCCAGCTAAAAGTGTTTCGGTTTCTGTGCCATTTATAAATTTCTGTTGTTCATTGTCTAAAGAAAGTTTTGACAATTAAATACAAGAATATAGAAAATATTAAATAATTGACAAAAGGTTACAAGAGCAGGAATTATCTGAACTATAATTTAATAAACATTTCCTTCTCCAAAAATTTACTAAAACAAAGACAGTAATTTAGGGGCTGAGCCACAATATTGTTACGGATTCAGCGCAATCTAGTAATTTTTTTATTAGACTCTTGCATTTGTATTAAATGACTCTAATATGTATAAATATTTAATTTCGTACGTAATAATTGAAACGTGTTATGAATCGATAAATTTCAAATTTTGACTTAGAGCTTTNCATTCGCTTGGCGAATAAAGTGGGTCACCCTCTTTTTGGCTTCGGCCAAACACTTTTTCTCGCTGGTCGAGCTTTCTACAAAAAAAGCGATGCAAGAACGTATTCTTTTATCTAAGCTTCTTCCCTGTGCATTAGCTCCCCCCATCGTAGATGGTTCAGCCACGCCCGGTGCCACGAAATGATTGAGAACTACGTCGGGGTCGAAATGAATTTTGTTCTTTGTATTCAATAAGTATTGCATGACCGGATAATTCAAGGAAGGGCGGACTGCGGGGAGGATCCTTTTAAGTAGATGACTCGTCGGTCGGTCGGAGCGGAACTTCTTTGGGAAAAAGAACTTAAATAAGTTTATTGTTCTGAAGGAGTCGTCATTTTACCTTTTATATTCTGTTTTCTCATAATTTTTTAGTGGCGAATTTTATCCATTTAATGTAAGTGGTAGTTTAGGGACAAATCTACAAACAAATGGTAAAACTTAAACTCGCTCCAATTCCCAGGCACGTTGGAATATAGTTTTGATTTAATTTAAGAAATAGAATCTCAAGTTTAAAGGATGTAATTTGTAAAACTCATTTTGTAAATTGTAAAAAACTTAGAAATTACTATTTGATTTATAGTGCGTTATAGTCTAAACAGTACTTCAAGAAATTAACCCGAATATGGTTTAACGTTTACTCCGCCGGTCTTATTTTATGTGAATATATTACTATTTAGGAATCAAATAATTTTTTATTATATTTTCTCAAACTCTTTTTAAATATTTGAATTATTTAATATTAACTAAGTTGACAAGAGGGGTTGTTCTGATGGTAAACAACCTCCATTTCCAATCACGAGGTTGTGAGTTCGAGTCTCCCAAGAGCAAGACGGGAAGTTCTTGGAGGGAAGGATGTCGAGGGTCTATTTGGAAACAGCCTCTCTACCCCAGGATAGAGGAAAGGTCAAGTGGGATTATACTGAGTTGTTGTTGTTGTTGACTTACTTTTCATGCAATCCTCAAATATGTAATGTTTTATTTTAAAGCAATAAAGAATTTATGTTCAAATTATCATTAAAAATTGTAAATATTTTGATACTTTTACTATGAACTACTTCATATAAATTGGGACAAAGCGATAATTATTGTTGATGAGAATATTAAGTAATATCTTTCCATCTATTCAAATTTAAATAGAAAAATAACACAATATTTATACAATTAGGACTAACAAAAGTCGCATAAAATTAATCGAGATATACATAAACTGACGGCAACATAAGAAAAAGACTTTAGGAAAAGGAAAGTAATTGGGTAAAATTCACTCAATTGTCGTTGGCTTAAAGTCCACATCAGAAGGAGAGTGGACCCCACATCCGATTCGGTGCTGAGGTGTAACGGCTCACCTCTTATCATGATTCCGTACAATATTTTTCTTTTAATTTGTTTACTTATTATAATAAGCTATATACTATAAAGCAACGTAAATATTTAACTACTACAACAACTCAGTATAATCCTACTAAGTGGGGTCTGGGGACGGTAGTGTGTACGCAAACCTTAAATATATAACTATTTGTTAAAAATCATGTTAAAAAGTATAATAAAAGAAAAATTGTTTACTTCAAAATAACAAAAAATTCATATAAAATAATATCATATAATTTAAAAAAACTGTGAAAACTGCTCAAGTTTCACTACTCAAATATAAATTTTCCTTTTGACTACTTAAATATGATATTTCTTTTATTAGTAACTAGTTTTTTCCTAATTCAATAAATATCAAATAAAATATACTTACATATATATATTTTTACGACTTAATTATGGTTAATAATCACCTCTATTTTTTGTATTCCCCTAGAATTAACTTTTTTTATAGGATTTACCATCAAAGGAGTGTTGTGGATAGATGAAATTCTTTCGATATTAACTTGAAGTCTCGACTTTGAATTTCGTAAATTTGTGATACGAACTGCTACCTATTTTAATGATCTATATATAGCAAAAATTTGAATTAGCGGGGCGAACACGCCAAATGTTAAACAAAAACAAAATGTACAATATTTAATGGTGGAATTAGGTTTGAGCTCTTAGATCCTTGATAAGAAGCTTTCATTTAACGAGTTGGAATTTGAATTAATCGAGTCACTAATTTCGAAGTTAGAACATCATATAATTAATTAATTAAAAAAAGATTTTTTTTTACCTGATTTGGTGCAACCACATAGCATAATTAGTATCTAATGACCAAAGAGGGTTGTGGTGGAGTAGCAAGTACTTCTTCATCCCTAATCGGAGGTCATGGGTATAGAGTCGCCTTTGTTAGTGAGCGTTTTACCCCAATGTGGGACTTTCCGGTGCGAATCCGAATTTAGTCGGGCCCAACTACAGTGGTAAACCAAAAAACAAACAAACTAGTATCTAGTGTAAACAGTGGCCTGTCACTGTAATTTCACCAAAAATATCAACACAATAATACAGCAAACCGCTCCTTCTCTGAACTTTCCGCCCCTATAAATTCACTTGGGTCCGCAGCAAACTGCTTAAAAATCATATATTTTGATACTGAATAAGATACTGTTCCTTATTTTTTTTCTCTCATTATTCCAGTAAAAGATCTTTATTCTTTTTTAGCTGAATCCAGCCATAAAAAGGTATATTCCAGAATCTGATTCATATCTATATATTTTGTATTTAACTTTTGCACTCACATTAACATTTTTGCTTTATTTGTTCTGTTCAGTTTGTGTTGGAGATATGGATCTTGATGTTGATTAGTGAATATCTTTAATCTGTTGAAGTATGTGTTAAAGATTTTGATTTGAGAAAAAAAATCCCCTTTTTTTTATGATAGAGTTAAGATTTTTAGTGAAGTTAAGTACTTTAATACAGTTTAGAAGGTAGAATCTTTATTGCTATTATTAATTCTTCTGGTCCCCCCCCCCCCCCCCCCCACAACCCCACCCCGAGGGCCCTCATTAGGGGTTAGGTGATTTGGTTGTGGCAAAGAAGTGTTCTTTTTAGATATTTTTTTAGCTGCTGACATGTGCTGAGTCAGTCTTTCAATTTTCTGAGTGATCATTTGTACTCAATTTGAGGATGTTTGAACCGTGATAAGGGTAGCCCAGTACACAAGGCATCCTGCCTTTACGCAAGGTACGGGGAAGGGTCGCACCCCAAGAGGTGTCATGTAGACAGTCTAACCTAATGCAAGTGTTAACGGCTGCTTCTACGGCTCGAACCCGTGACCTATAGGTCACATGGAGACAACTTTACCGCTGCTCCAAGTCTCCCCTTCAGTAAAGATACTACCTTCTAAACTCTATTAAAGTACTTAATTTCACTAAAAATCTGAACTTTATCATAACGGTGGAGTAATCGATACATAGTAAATGGGATTTTGAGAGATTCTTTAGGGGAAAACTGAAGTAAGTCTTTAAGGGGGGAAAGAGTAGGGTGCAGAGTATAAAGTTTTGAAATACACAAGAGGAAAAGATGATTTTATTCATGAACAACATGCTCTTTATATAGAGCAGATACAAACTGAAATACATAATAGTGGAACAAACCGATGTGATAAGATTTTGTGCAGCAGAATACACTAGAATACAGGGAACTAACAAAATCCTAAAACTAGAAAATAGGAAGCTAAAAACAAACTACTAAACTGAAGGATAACAAGTATTATCCTTTAATACAGAGGTAACGATAGATGAGCTAAACTTCATTTGACTAGAATGTACAATGCTTATTATCTGGACATATACTTTTGATTTGTGATTTTTCTCCAGCGATCGACTACTAAATTTTCACATACCAAATTTTCCTGGAGCTCCGTGAATGTTAATGCTTATGCGTGCTCATTATCTCAAGGAATCATGAACTCTTTTCTAAAATCAGTAACTATGTATTTTATTCATCCAAAGTGCACCATGGAAGTGCTTGAATATGTACAAGCAAAAACCTCAGCAGTTCTATAATGTGGGAACTGACGTATAAACATCTGTATCTAAGTCAAGGAATTGTAAATTATGAACCTTGCTGTTTTTGACCTTTCAAAGGGAAAAAAAGGAAAAAGGATTATGTTGGACAAGATCTCACAGAAGGCCAATATGTCTGTTATTTTTCATAGCAGCTAGTCAACTTATGTAGGACTTGGCCGCATGAAACGATTCAGCAAATTTTTATCCTTATGTTCAATTTCAGTTAAAAAATATGCAGCTTATCAATTATGCAGATATATGCTCAATGCATATGGCTACCTTTTCTCTTGCTCTGAAACACACGAGCAAATATTCTCTGTGTATACGAGCAACAAATACTAGTAATATAGAATCTTGTCTGGCCACTTTCTTCTTATACGCTTTTATTCCATCACGTGCTTGTTACGTAAATGCAGAGCCTATAATCAATCAATGGGCTCAAAAGCAGTTGAAGATTTGATACAGGCATCATCAGGAGTTCATTATTCTGGATTCCATTTAGAAGAACCACATACTTCAGAAGTTGAGCAACCAACAACTTCTATTGATGAAAGTGTTAAGCAACCCTTTGTCATTGGTATGTCGAGGCAGTAATATATCTCTTGCTGTTACTTGAGCTTTTTCTCAACTAACTTTAGCTTCACTGCAAACGATAGTTTTAGATCGTGAAACTAAGACAGCTACTCAATCTTTTCGGGACGGGTATATGAAGAACGGTTAATTTCACTCATCATTCAAATCATTTTGGATGGATGTTAATCGCCCTTGCATTTTTGATACTTAGTAAAGCTGTACATTTATATATATGATGACACTGGATGAGAAAATTATGATGTTGAATTTGGTGATGGATGAGAAATCATTGTGCTTGCTTAAGAATTGTTTAGATATAGGACCTAAAGTAAATGTATTAACATGACTAAGATATGCTCCCAACTAATTGGTGTCTCCTAAATGGTTAGTGAGGATTCATATAGCCGACACCGACTTGTTTTGGGATTGAGGGGTGTGGTTTGACGTAGAAGTCCAGACCAAAACTTTATCTGACTAAAGACTGGATTTTTTTTGTGTGCTTGATCCTGCTTTCTGCCTGCACCTCGGAATGCATTTGTCGTCTTTGTGGAGTTTTGTTCAGCATTTGCTGGAAACGTATTCCACGAGCTTTGCTTCTCTAAGTTTGTTGGTTGATGCTTGTTCCTACAATTAGCACAAGATAGGGTAATGATGAGAGGAAAGACTTTACAGGTTCTCTATGAGGTGTGCATATGTATTGTTGGTCAATAGAGCAGTTTGTGTGCTTTGATGAGAAAATATCTCAGGGCTATGGTTAAAGATGGGAACGAATCATCGGGATTTTAGTCAGTTCATGTAAACTTGAGAACAGTACAGTGATCTTAGTTTTCTACTTGATGCATGCTTATATAAGATGTTTTACCTGCAGGAGTTGCTGGAGGTGCTGCAGCGGGCAAGACAACAGTTTGTGATTTGATTATTGATCAGCTTCACGATCAGCGTGTTGTCCTAGTTAACCAGGTGGGTTTTCTTCAGAGTAGAAAATGAAGCTTTTGTTTTTATTTTTTTATGTACGAGTCTAAAAAAACACCTTTCATCACTTGAACAGACTGCATAATCTTTTCCTATGCAGTTTTAACAGTGGAACTCTATTTCTCTTATCTCTTCCTATTTAATTGATAAACGTTCACAATTTGTTTATAACATCCACTTGACCTTTCTTCTTGATGAGGTATTGGATAGCTGGGGTCCTACTCCGTATTTTCCTAGGGCGGGTTATCTCTAATTTTCTTTCTAGTTTTGTAAAAAATATATATTAACCAAGCTAAAATTATAAAATGTAATTATTCGTAAGCTCAGCATCCAATTCTTTTTGCTTATGATTTGGCAGTTTATGGCTATTCCATGTACTAGTTCTATCGCACCCCTGTCGTCTATGACAATAAAGTATAACTTGAGGGAATTTAACTTGCATCTTAAGTTGTCTGTTTTCCACAACTTTTCGGTGCTCTTGCATTATATTTGTCTTAAGTTTGGAAAAAAAATGTATAGCCTGCCAAAACACAAACACCTATTTGTCTGACTTATGTTTCAATTGGCAGGATTCTTTTTATCACAATTTGACACCAGAAGAACTCACAAAAGTTCATGAGTACAACTTCGACCATCCTGGTTAGTCTAGTTCTTTATTATCTGAATTGAATACACAGGTAAAATTGTTTTATCTCTTAGTTCCTCTGAGAAACAAAGATATCTTTTTCCATGGTGAATCATTGCCAAACATCCATTTTATCATTCTAGCAGTTGACTGTATACAATTTGTAATAGATTGCCAGAAACTGCAAAGTTGATTGTGGTTCAGCCATTGAGGACTTAAAGTCCCTAATCTTACTAGAAATTCCTCATAAACAGTTAGTAATAGCTTCCAAAGAAATGTTAACTCCAAAAATCACTTAATAAGGATTTGAAAACCTAGTACTAGTTTTCACTTATGTTGTGCGGACTCCCCTAAAAGTTGTCGCACCCATGTCAGATTCCTCTGAAAATACATTACTTTTGGAGGATCTAACACGCACCCGGAGACATTTTCGGAGAAATCACTTAATAAGAATATGTACTTAGTTTTAGAAATATTAAAAAGCTGTTCTATTTTCTAGAATAATACGGTGGCTAAGTTTTACGCGTCTTTCTAATTATTGTGCTTTATTCAGATGCATTTGACACTGAGTTATTGTTGCGTGTGATGGAGAAATTGAAGCATGGGCAAGCTGTAGATATTCCAAAATATGATTTTAAGAGTTACAAAAATGACGTATTCCCCCTTCGAAGGGTAATTTCTATCTAGCATGGCATTTTCCTCTTCTTTTTTTTTCTTCTTTCATTTCAGCTTGTATTGTTACATAGAGATCAACCTAGTTTCTTTCCCTATCTACGACCCAACCCCTCCTCAAAGGGAAAACAAGGAAGAAAAGGGGAAAGATAACATTCCAATGAGATGGAGCATAGATACACACGCTATTGCCTGCGGCTAATTTTAATTTTGGGTGCCGAATTATCTAACAAGTGTCATTAACCACTTTGACTTAAAATACTTGGTAGGTCAATCCTTCGGATGTTATAATTTTGGAAGGTATACTCATATTTCATGATCCTCGTGTCCGAGATCTGATGAGTATGAAGATATTTGTAGATACAGGTTCTTTCCTCTCCTTTCTTTGATATATCTTTTTCGTATATTAGGTTAATGCTTATGCATCTTGTTCTTTTCAGTTGTTTTATCTAAAAACATAACACCAAACTTGCACCCAAGGGTGTGGCCTAGTGGTCAATGAAGCGGGTGAGAACCATGAGGTCTCAAGTTCAAATCCCAGCGGAGGCAAAAAAAAACTAGGTGATTTCTTCTCATCTATCCAAGTCTTGGTGGATAGAGTCACCTGGTACCTATTGCTGGTGGGAGGTGGCAGGTACCCCGTGGAATTAGTCGAGGTGCGCGCAAGCTGGCCTGGACGCTACAGTTATCAAAAAAAAATGTTAACACCAAACTTCAAAAACAAATTGAAATTTTTGGTCCTAGTCCTTTATTTGCTTAGACCTCATTTGGTCTCTAGAGAAGAAAAAAAGAATCTAGAAATAGGAAATTAGGAATACTACAATGCTATATTGAAGTGGATTATTGAAGTTATTTTACTTATTTCTGCACAGCTTTTTGTTTTGCAACTATTGTCAGTCTTCCTAACGTTTGATATGCTGATTTAGTCTTAATCACGAGGATAAAACTTCTGCTTGTTGTTTCATTCCATGTCTACAGACATCTATTGTGAATTCTCTACTTTTGTGGTTTCATAATTTAAAATTTTCAGTGCAGATGCTGATGTACGGCTTGCAAGGAGAATAAGACGTGATACTGCTGAAAAGGGTAGAGATATCGCTACAGTACTTGATCAGGTTACTTGATCTTTATAGCTTATATCAAGAATTTGTGAGCTAACTGTGTTTGCATTCTCATATGTACCTAGAGGAGTCTTCTCTTTTTCATTTTTTGCTGTTTGGCAAATCTTTTGTCAAGGTATCAAATTTTTTGTATTTCCCAACTTCCAACAAAATGCCCATTGTTAAAACTGATAGTTTCCCTTTCACGAATAACGTAATGTAATCTTTGCGCAGTACTCCAAGTTTGTCAAATCGGCTTTTGATGACTTCATTCTTCCAACAAAGAAGTATGCTGACATAATAATTCCCCGGGGTGGAGACAATCATGTTGCTATCGATTTGATTGTGCAACATATCAGGACGAAACTTGGTCAACATGATCTTTGTAAAATATATCCTAACTTATACGTTATTCAATCTACTTTCCAGGTACCATTTTCATCTTGTTATTATAGATATGTTTTAGCACCGATCTGTTTCAGTTTCATCTTGCCAATTATCTGTGCCTCTTCATCTTGAAGTCATTTTTCCTTTTTTTTGAGATCGACCTTTTATTTCCCTCTAAGATTATTATTTGTTTCATTCAGATACGTGGCATGCATACACTTATCCGTGATGCACAGACGACAAAGCATGATTTTGTGTTCTATGCTGATAGATTGATTCGATTGGTAAGTTTTTCTTTCTTGCACGGCGATCAAGTTAACAAGTTTTTCGACAAGTGAAAGATTTCCCCTTATCTATCAAAGTTCTTCCTCACTGTACCAGGTTGTTGAACATGGACTAGGCCATCTGCCGTTTACAGAAAAACAGGTGATCACTCCAACTGGTAAGCAGCTATCCCCCATAGTGCAATATTAGATATGAATTTGATTCTAAATGTTCATTTATGTCATTGTATTTTAATCAATCTAGTTGTGGTTTCCACAGTATGTGAGCTTAGGGGCGGACCTAGAGTATTAGGTACGGGTTGGGACGAACACAATAGCTTTTGCTTAAACCCTATATTTGTATTAGGAAATCCGTTAAATATGAACAAATATTTAATTGTGAACCCAGTAACTAAGACGAGCGATGGAACCTTCAAATCCTGGCTCCGCCTCTATGTGAGCTGATATGTTTTCCTGGTTCCGTAACATTTAGAAGTGATTGTTTTTAATTTTTTGGATTATATTGTTTCTTTTGGATTCATCGTAGCATTGCAATAGAGCTCTTTTGTTTTATTTCATGTATATCCTTTTTTCCTTAATCAGTTTTACCTACCATAACTCACTCAAGAGAGACTGAGTTACTATTTTGAAAAAATAAGCTATCAGGAAAACTGTTGGCATATTTGAGATGCTCTGGCCTCTAAGAAGTAAGCAGCAGCCGTGGTTTGAAATATCAATCGGTACTGCAAAGTGTCAGAGGAATCATAATTAGAAGGGACAAGGCCGATTCAATGACTCACAATGTTTTTTACTTGTGTTGAAAATGTTGTCACCCATATTATGAGTGCTTCGCTACTGACATGTCAAAAACTCAAAATAATCGCATCCGAGCTACATCATAGGAGATGCATCGGATACCATGTGGAGTGTGGGCAATATTAAATGAAAGCTTCTCTTGGGATAATTGATGCTATATTTTGCCGCTTGATATTCCTTTTATAGAGAGTCGATAATGATACTTTGTCGTGAATGTGATTTATCATTTGAAAGACTATTGACCATAGCAGCTTAGCAAACACGTTTTCTTGGTGCAACGTTTATTAGTATCAACACCATGGTAATTTGTTACGTTTCAATCCGTTAGTTTGGTAAATTTTCAGCACTTGATTAATGTCTTCGAATTTCATAGTTGCTTAGCTACTTCAATCCATATTATCTATGGTGGCGGCTTGGGTTTCATGAATTTACTTGGATAAAAACTAGTCTCTTTCCAGTTTGGATGTCTAGTTGAGATGTATTTACCTGTTATCTTTTAGGTCAGCTAAATGATTGCAAACTGTGGTGAACTTCTTGCTTACCAAGACCCGCATTGACTATTAGCCAATATTGTCATTTTTTGAATCAAGATTTTACTCATGTTTATTCTTGGACTTTGCTCTTCATGATATCCCAAGTTAGCTCCTGTTTCGATGAGCATGAAAAGATATGCTTAAATTAACCCACCTCTGTTGAGTGCAGGATCTGTATACAGCGGTGTAGATTTTTGCAAGAGGTTATGTGGTGTCTCTGTAATTAGAAGGTAATTATTGTTCGTCACCCTTGATTTCTTCATATATGAGGTAAAAATGCGGGATGTTACCTTGAGAAGATCAAGATTAATAATGTTAAGAGTAAATGTCACCTAAAAAGGTTTACATCAATGGGGGTTCCTTTTTCTTCTAGTGTGGGAAATAGATAATCAAAATTTACTAGTTTGCTGTTTAGTCAATATTTAGATTTGTTGTGTTAATCTCGGAAAAATCAAAAATTAAAATATGTATTGCTAATAAGTCGAAGTAGAATGTGAACCTGTTTAATGTTGAATGTATATGGGGGTTTACCTAATCATCATCCTTGGTATGTTGAAACATTTTACTTTAATTCATTAGAAATGTCCTTGCTTGCTTCTTTCTGCCTTCAGTATAAGATTTAGGGATTGCTATGTTCTCTTTACTTGCCATAAGAATTTCTAATTTTGCACAGTGGAGAGAGTATGGAGAATGCGTTGCGTGCATGCTGTAAGGGTATCAAGATAGGCAAGATTCTTATCCACAGAGAGGGTGACAATGGTCAGCAGGTTAGCGATTTGCTTGTCCTCCCGAATCTTTATATTGGTATTTGCTTTCTTTCTTTTTTTAAAGTTTGTAATGCCTTTTTTCATTTATTGCATGTATAATGATGCAGCTGATCTATGAAAAACTACCAGAAGATATTGCAGAAAGGCATGTCCTTTTGCTGGATCCTATCCTTGGCACAGGTTAGTCTATTTTCAACAACGCCCTCGACATCACGTGACTGACCATGACTCTCAATGCACACAAAATGTATAGATGCACTACATCATGAAGAATGTTGTAAAATTTTCTTAATGAGCGAATGTGTAAGCTAAAGCCTATATGTGACAATCTTCAGGGAATTCAGCAGTTCAAGCTATTTCTTTACTGCTAAAGAAGGGAGTCCCCGAGTCCAACATTTTATTCCTCAATCTTATTTCTGTAAGTTTACCAATTCATCCATTTTTGGCATTTGATTATCTTAGAATCCACCTTTTTACAAATGTTGCTAGCACGTAAACATGTGGAGTTTCTATTGCAATAAAATTCTGGAATCATAATCTTTGATGTTCTTAAACTAGGCACCCCAAGGAGTACATGTGGTTTGTAAGCGTTTTCCAAGAATAAAGATCGTGACATCTGAGATAGAAAATGGTTTGAACGATGATTTTCGTGTTATTCCTGGAATGGGCGAGTTTGGTGACAGGTATTTTGGCACAGACAATGACTAAACGTTAGACTGGTGGCCCGTCCCTCTCTATCTCTCAATCGCGCGAGAGATATAACCTTTTCTATATCAACCCAATCATATTTTCTGAGGATCATTAAGAAGAAAAGGACTCAGTTGAGCATGATTAAACAATAATGTGTTAAGGTCTGGACATTATGAGATTGTATTTGACTACAGTTGCATTAGAAATGCGATTTTCAAACTTTTTGTACATTTGAGTAACACGAGTTTCCTTTAGGAGTTGTAAGAAATGCATTAAAATGGGTTTGATATGAATTACTATAGTATCTGGACAACAACAACAACAACAACAACCCAGTATAATCCCACAAGTGGGTTATGGGGAGGGTAATATGTACGCAAACCTTACCCCTACCCCGAAGGGTAGAGAGGCTGTTTCCAGGAGACCCTCGGCTCAAAAAAGCAACAGGAGATGATATATTAGTACCATAAAAATGCACAATAGAATAACAGCACATATCTGGACAATATGTGCATTTACTTTTTAAATCTTGAATACCCTAAGCGAAATTCATGATTTCCTTGGTGTAACTAATGTTGAACTTATCTAACTATTGACAATTCGAGATCTATCCTGATAATATGGATGTTTCGACTTGGTAGTTTTTATAATTTTAATATCAAATCTCTCAAGATATTTTTATTTTTACGCACAAAAGATATGAAAATAAAACATTACAGGACCATTTAGTTATATTCAAATTATGAAAGGTTGTATACAAATTTCTTTTCCTTTTTTGACCAAAAATGAGCATTGGCCAACTCCTTGAAAAATCGATTCTGCACAACTGAAAAGGAGAAAGAAAAAGAGCAACTATGCAACGCATTGAGAAAGAAGTGTATCTAATTGAAGGTGTGAACAATTATGTAACAGTATATATATTCTTTAGAGTACAAAAATGAAAAAATTTAATTTGTGTTTCACAAGTTTGACGGAATACCAATTATCTCCCACCAACGCATTTATCGGGTAATTCTACCCACCAAAGTTTAGATAGGTGCCAAAAAATTACTTAGCGCTTTTACCTCTACTGGATTTGAACTCAAAACCTCATGGCTCTCAACCGACTTCATTGACCACACTAGGCCATACCTTGAGTGGTTAAGTATAAAATCTAATTACGTAACTGAATCTATATATATATATATATAAGAGGTAATTGAAAAGATGACTTAGCACCTCTCTTTGGCCAAGAAACTCATTTATCTTTTTTCTCCTTTTTTGGNGGGGGTGGATGCACTTGTATGACATAGTGTCAAATGACGGCAAATTAATATGAGTTTCATGAATTCTGATTGCAGAATATTTACCTAACATGTCTCAAATGTTAGGCATTGTATTTATCTTATCCTCCTTTTTTGGCCTTTTCCCTATATTTTCCTATTTACGCTACTGTAAAAAATAAAGTCTAATAATTTTTATCTACTTTTTCTTAAGGAAGCATGTTGTATGTCCTATTTTTTTCCTCTTTTATTTATTTACAGCTGATCTTTAAAATTGAATCAAGTAAGTTATGATAATAATATTTTCAATATAAAACAATATATCTTCCAATATTTAGGTAAATGACAATGCAAATTATTATTTAATTTCTTAATTAGTTGGATAAATTTTTTTTCTTATATCAAGAAACACTTCATTATGAGCTTTCAATCCAAACACTTCATGTGAACCAATGAGGTTTTTGAGTCATGACTACAAGTATCAAGTGGTGAAAAAGAATTACATGCGACAAATATTTTTGTAAAAATGAAAGAATGCTTATTGCTATAATAAGGATAATAACAGTTACAAGTGTATTCTAAAATTGAAGGTTTGTACATAATAAAAAACAACCATGAGAAAGAGACTCTAGTAAAAGATTTATGTTTGTGATATAAAATTAATTTTATACTCATATACATTATCTTTTTAATTTCTTCTGTCTCAACTAAACTTGCAAAAATTTATTTTATGTATTCACTATTCTCTTTCTTAGCAGCACAATAATTGTAAGTGTACGACATAACATTGAACGTTCTAAATTCTAATGATATGAACATAAAAAGAACAACTATGAGAAGAAAACTCTAATGAAAGATTTATAATATGATACAAAATTAATTTTATAATCATATAAAACAAAATTAATCTCTTCTATCTCAACTAAACTTGCAAAAAAAATAATTTTTATGGATTCATTTTTTTAACCGCGCGAAGCGCGGATATATTCACTAGTAGCAGATAAACTTGGAAATAAGCTAATTTATTAGCATGCATTATGTTTAATATAACGTTCAACCAACCACAGAACTTAATAAATCACTTTGAATTCCATTCCCTGCCAAATTCATCATAGCATGGCAATCCAAGCAGGAAAAGCAAGGTTAAGTTTGTGTCCAACAATATAATTTCAAAGACAATTTTGAATGAAATAGTAAGCAGTCATTGCTAAAATCCAAAAAATGTTGTGGGTACATAAATTAAGCCACAGATCTTAATTCTATGACAGAAAAGAGATGATCAACCCCCAAATAGATATCCGGCGGCTTGTTCTTCATTGCCATCGAAAAACTTCAGAGCTTGTATTACTGCATCCCTTCCAAACCCTAATTCAACAAGCTTTGCAACTTTGGCTTCAAATTCAGTTCCCTGCAGAAAAAATATTAATAAAGTAGCACAAAGACCATAAATGATCTGTTCTACTTAACAATGACTGTATTTATTCAAAGGAACAACAAATTTATGCAAGCTGTCAAGGAGCAAATTAATCTCTAATTTACCTGTGTCGAATTCCCAGGGGCGCTTCCTGTGGACCAAGACAAGGTTGAACTATAAGTAAATGAAATTCAAAAGAGAAATAAAGAGAGCTGTAGAAACAACCAAAAGCAAAATAGAAAGAAAATTCATGTCATCTTGTTGACTCTTCCTAAATCATGTTAAGCAAATTAATGTAAGGAATTTAAATCCTTGGGTGTGGCGGAACAGTCCAGATGACAGACAGTTGAAATGGAATTCACAAATATTATTTGGAAATTGAAGCTAACCGGAAGGACCTCCTTTTGCAGGACCAGTCGTCTCCTTTGCTCCAGATGTTGCCTGTACAGCAAGAAAAAGAACCAAGTTTAGTACTGCTGCCTCGTCGAAAAACCACAAACACAAGGAAAAAGCACTGTTCCTAGAAGGTCCAAATCCTGATTTGAATATTTAGAGAAAAATGATAATATAACAGATTATTAAAGGGCTGCATGACCTTAAAGATTTAAAAATTGTAGGATAACATATTGCACAATCTTTAGAGCAAACAGGCTCTAGCAACCCCAGGAAAACATCAAACTTCCATCAAGAATGTCATAATTGTAAAAAGAAAGGCAAATCCTAGGCAATCATTTCATCTAATTTCAGCATCAACTTTATCTATTATCTTGGAGAGTGCATATAACCAGAACTGCACTCAAATTTGTATAATGTTAGCTCTTGACCTATTTTGAAGCTAAAATACGTCAAATTTGTTGTTCATTTATTGCTCGCATTAAACTATAGGCAGCAAAAAGTAAAGTCCCACGTACCCACTTTCAGAGAATGAAAAAGGAAAGATAGATAATGTTGAGTCCGGAAAAAATCATTATGTAAAAAAAATGCCTTTACCTGGGTTCCTGAGCTCGAAGCCTCCTTGGCGAACCTCTCGTCATCAAGAAAATGACCAGGAATGTCCTTCTCTGAAATTTGATGTAAACAAACTTAGTAAAAGCTCAAAGGTAGTACTNAATGTCCTTCTCTGAAATTTGATGTACACAAACTTAGTAAAAGCTCAAAAGGTAGTACCATCCAGTACAAAAGTAACCAGGAGGCATCACCAACCATGTAGAAATGGTACAGCAACCTCCCCTCCACCAACTCTCAGAACATTCTCCTTCAGATCAATCATGCACTGCAAAAGATCATTACCGTCCGCTTATAAAGGCGTGTTGAAAAGAAAAGATAAGAACAGAAAAGAAAAAGATTTTACAAGCAGGGAAAGAAAGTCAACCTGGTGTTTGCGAAGCATGTCAAGTCCAAAGAGAAATTCCATATTGGGAGAATCCAGTACCACGAAAGAACAAGGGTAAAATATTTGCCCAATCTGCCATAGTTAAGAGTTTAGCAAATTGAAGTGAAACATGCTAACAGAGCATTACCTTGGAACTTATCATCAATCCAAAGGCAAGCATATCCATGCAGCTTTTTATTACTTCGACAGCTTTTCATTTACTAAAATGAATGCATATGTGCCTGGTTGCACGACTTAATCCTCAAGTATTATGGGTAGAACAAGTAATTATCACCAACTGATTAGTGGGACAAGTCATCAGACAGATTGATTTAAGCAAATGGCAAATAAGCTAAAAACTACTTACAGCTGACAGATTATTAGTATTATTTGACTATTATTTGTGGCTATAAGTTGTGCAGAAATGTTTGCATGTAGCTTATATAAGTTTTAGACTGCTAGATCTATAGACAGGATACTTAGCATCAGTAATCCAGATCATAAAATTGGACATTACTAAGAAATAGCACAGTAGTACAGAAACTGAAAGAACAGAATATGGAAAGCATTTGATAGCAGCAGAAATTTAATCACTCTATTTAATTTTCCGGGCAGTGCATGAGAATAGAAAGAATTCATCAGTAGAACAGCAGCATCTATTGTATACCGTCAATGCACTTGAAGTACAGACACAAGATTGCAAGATAACACATCAGCTCCAAGGAAGCAACAAACCTTGATTGGAGCAACATGAATACGACCTAGTATCTCTGATTGACCAACTCCATGAGCAATGCCCTTATAGCGTGTATCTAATAGCCTCAACAATCTGCAAGAGAACGGGTCAGCAGTTATATTAACAAATCTTCAGGGCTAGCCTATTTCTGAAAGAAAAAAATAAGCCAGCAACAAACACCTGTTACATTTATTACTACATTATTCTTACGGTAAATAAAACCAAAAACCTGAATATCAAACTGATTAATGTATTGCCCATAAACTTTTACTTTTTGATAACCGAGAAATAACCAAGGGCCAACGGCATACGGTTTGAAACTCGGTAAATAATGGGCCAACCCTTCTACCCTAAAAACTTATTAGTTATTCACTCAACCTCCTCATCAAGCTAATGAATGCCTCCTGGGTGGTATTATAAATTTTAAAGATAGTTCTGAAATCTTATAATAGACAACGGATATCAAAAAGTAACCCTATAATAGAGGCATGGTTCAAAATATAAGAGAG